TATTCTGCCATTTTTGCTGACATCTCTAAAATGATAATTTCTAATTATAACGTTCCTTCTGCATTTATTAGCTAGAATTCTTTAAAGAATTTTTTCTTATAAACTGATTGCCATTAAATATAGTTTGTAAGCAAATTAATAGATAAATATATGGTACATATCTTTAGTTGTGAAATTTGAGAATGGGGATTTGGTGTCTTAGTAATTACCCAAAATGACCAATTCATCAGTTCTTTCTTTTTGGTATCATTATTAACTTGTGAGTTTTAACCTATTTCCTTTTGATGAGAAGTGCTTTTAGAGGTCACTCTTTGTGCCCAGATATATTCATTACCACTGAGATATTGTTACTTTATGATATTTTCAGTGGCAGATACAGTAATTATTTTTTACAAAGAGTGATTTGGGGCTATTAAATCATGAGTTTATATTGTTATTTCCTTCTTATAATTAAGGTTACAGGATATCCACTTACCTTTTACACTTACCTTACATTGAAATTTTTTTGACATTAACAATAACTTCTTCATGTCACAATATACATAAATAATTTCAAAATACTACTCCTAAGATTGTGATGTTCACTGAGGTTAGAACAGCAATATATAAACAAAACAATTTTAACAAAAAGAAAATATTTTTAAAGTACCAAACATAAGTCACAGAGCTGAAGAATAACTAAACTAAAAAATCTACTAAAGGGGTTCAAGTGAATGAAAAAGAGTGAAGCTAGCTTAAGGAATTTATGGGACACCCTAAGAGGACCAGTATACACAATATAAAGGTCCTAGAAGGAAACAAAAGAGAGAGGTGCAGAAAGCTTATTCAAGAAATAACAACAACAAAAAAAATCTTGAAACAAATATACCAAAATTTATGGACTATAACAAAAGCAGTTTTAAAAGACTTCATAATAATAAATATCAACATTAAAAAAAAGAAATTTTTCAAATAAACAACCTAACTTTGCACCTCAGGGAACCTAATGAACCAACAAAGCCCAAAGTTAGCAGAAGGAAGGAAATAACAAGAATCAGAGTGGAAATAAATGAAATAGAGACTAAAAACACAATAGAAGAGATGAATGAAACTAAGTTACTTTTTTGAAAATATAAACAAAAAAGTAAACCTTTTTACCAAGAAAAAAGGAGGGACTCAAAGAAATACAACTACAAATGAAAGAGAAGGCATTTCAACAGGTACCACACAAATACAAAATGTTATAAACAAATACTATAAACGATTGTACATCCACAGGTTGAACAACCTAGAGAAAGTGGCTAAATTCCTAGACACATTAAACTTACCAAGACTGAATCATGAAGAAATAGAAAATCTGAATAGACCAAATTACTAGTAAGGAGATAGAGGCAGTAATCAAAAATCTCCCAACAAAGAAAAGCCTGGGATCAGATGGCTTTAGTGGTTATTTCTACCAAACATCTGAAGATGGGTCAGCAATCCTTCTCAAACTCTTTTGAAAACTTGAAGAAAAGGAATTACTTCCAAACTCATTTTACAAGCCCAGCGTTATAGTGATATCAAAACCAGACAGACACTACAAAAAAAGAAAATTATCTGCCAGTATCCCTGATGAAAAGTTAAATGCAAAAACTTTCAACATAGTATTAGCAAACCAAGCCCAATAGTACATTAAAAGGAGCATATACTATGATCAAGAGGGATTTACTCCACAGTTGTAAGAATAGTTCAATATTCCCAATCAATGCAATATTCCACATGAACAAAATAAAGCATAAAAATGTTATGATCATTCATGAAGTCCAGAAAAAAGTATATGACAAAGTTCAACATCTTTCCATAATAAAAACTGAGTATAGAAGGAAAGTACCTCAACATAATAAAGGCCATATATGAGTAAGCCACAGCTAACATCATTCTCAGTGATGAACAGCTCTCTAAGATCAAGAACAATACAAAAAAGGCCTACTTTCAAAACTTTCATTCAATATGTTATTTGAAATACTAGATAGAACAATCAGGCAAGAAAATAAAATAAAGGGGATCCAAATCAGAAAGGAAAAAAGAAAAGCTATCATTATTTGCAGATAACTTATATACAGAAAATGCTAAAGACTCCAAAAAGTGTTAGAACTAATAAACAAATTCAGTAAAGTTGCAGGATACATCCATATACAAAAATTGGTTGTGTTTCTATATACTAACAGTGAACTAACAGAGAAAGTAAGGAAATAATCCCATTTGCAAAAGAAACAAAATACCTAGGAATAAATATAAGCAAGGAGATGAAAAATCCGTATACTGAAAACCACAAAAGATTGATGTCTCAAAAAAAGACTGATGAAAGAAAAAAAGACACAAATAATTGTAAAGATGGTCTATGTTCATGGACTGGAAGAATCAATATTATAAACATTCCCACAGTACCCAAAACAATCTGCAAATTCAGTGCAATCCCTATCAAAATTCCAATGGCATTTTTCATGCTAATAGAAAAAAATAATCTTAAATTTATATGGAGTCACAAATGACCCCAATAGTGAAAGCAGTCTTGAGAACAAAAAACAAAGTTAGAGTCATCATATTTCCTGATTTCAAACTATATCACAAAGCTATAGTAATTAAAACAATATGGTACTGACGACAAAACAGACAGATTAACGGAGCAAAATGCAGGACCAACAAATACATGTATGCAAATATGGTAAAAAAAATTTTTTAATAACCAAAACTGTACAATGGGGGAAGGATCATTTCTTCAATAAATGATATTGAGAAAAGGAGAGATTATACCTATAAGAATGAAACCAGGCCTCTCTTACACTATACACAAAACTCAAAGTGGACCTAAGTTTTGAACACAAAACCTGAAACTAAAACTCCCAGAAAAAACATAGGGGTAAACTTCTTGGAATTGATCTTAACAATGGTTTTTTTGGTTGTTTGTTTGTTTTTTTGTTTTTTTTTTTTTTTTTGCATTCCAAAAGCAAAGGCACCAAAAGCAAAATAAGTAGGACTACAGCAAACCAAAAACTGAACAGTAGAGGAAACCATCAACAAAATGAAGAGGCAATATACTGAATTGGAGAAAATATTTGCAAATAATGTATCTAAAAGAGGTTAATATCCCAAATACACAAGAAATCTATAAAACTCAATAGAAAAAAAAAATCGGGTAAACGGCCTAAGCAGACATTTTTATAGAGAATGCATGCAGATGGCAAACAGGTACATGAAAAGGTGTTCAACACCACTAATCATTGAGGAAATATAAATCAAAACCACAGTTGAGATATCTCCTATCACCTGACCCTGTTAGGTTATCTAATACCAAAAAGACGAGAATGTTAACACGAAAGTGGAGAAAAGAAAAATCCTATTAGAGCATAAACTGTTACAACTGCTATGGAAAATAGTATAGAGATTCCTCAAAAAGTTACTAATAGAACTTCCATATGACCCAGCAATCCCACTTCTAAGTATATATCCAAAGGAAATGAAATCATTATCTCAGAGATTTTTGCACTTCATTGCAGCATTATTCATAATAACCAAGGTGTAAAGACAACCTACGTGTCCACCAGTGGTGAGTGGATAAAGAAAATGTATTATGGAAGGAGAGGGGGAAAAAGTTGTTATTCAGCCTAAAAAGGGAGGGGGAATCTTGTCATTTGTAACAACATGGATGAACCTAGAGGACACTGTGCTAAGTGAAATAAGCCAGACAGAGAAAGACAAATACTGCATGATTCCACTTTTACGTGGAATCAAAAAAAGAAACAAAAAAGTTGAACTCTGAAACAGTAGAGAAGGGATTGTGAGGGCACCTGAGTGGTCAGTCCATTGAGCATCCGACTCTTGGTTTCTGTCAGGTTATGATCTCACGGGTCATGGAATTGAACCCCACATGGGGCTCTGCACACTCACCATGAAGTCTGCTTGGGATTGTTTCCCTCTTCCTCTCCCTACCTCCTGCCCCTCCCCCAACTTGTGTGCTCTCTCTCTTGCTCTCCCTCTCCAATAAATAAATCTTTAAAAAATAACTTAATAAGGTGGTTGGGAGGCTTGGGGGTAAGGGAAATAGGGAAAGGTTTATAGAAGTGTACAATCTTGTATGTGCTGTGGTGAGTGCTGTGAAGTGTGTAAACCTGGCGATTCACAGACCTGTACCCCTGGGGCTAATAATACATTATATGTTTACAAAAAAATTTAAAAAAAAAAAGAAGTGTACAATCTTTCATTATAAAATGAATAAGGAGGGGGTGCCTGGGTGGCTCAGTGGGTTAAAGCCTCTGCTTTCAGCTCAGGTCATGATCCCAGGGTCCTGGGATCGAGCCTCGCATCAGACTCTCTGCTCAGCAGGGAGCCTGCTTCCTCCTCTCTCTCTGCCTGCTTCCTTGCCTACTTGTGATCTCCATCTGTCAAATAAATAAATAAAATCTTTTTTAAAAAAATAAAATAAAATAAAATGAATAAGGAGGGATGCCTGGGTGGCTCTGTCATTAAGCATCTCCCTTCAGCTCAGGTCATGATCCCAGGGTCCTGGGATAGAGCCCCACATTGGGCTCCCTGCTCAGTGGGAAGCCTGATTCTCCCTCTCCCCCTGCTTGTAGTTCCTCTCTGTCTTCTCTGTCAAATAAATAAATAAATAAAATCTTAAATAAATAAAATGAATAAGGTCTATGGATTTAATATATAACATGGAGACTATAGTTGATAGTATATATTTGTTTCTTACTCTGGTCTTACTTATTTGTGTTTTTGGGGGGGGGGTTGGTGAGTATGTAAGCTGTAAAATTTCTATGTATTATGCTATAGTAAAAAGTTTGTTTAAATTGGTTTGTTTTAAAATGAGTTAAAATAGTTCTTTTCTGATGTGGTTATGGCAAGCTTAAAATAAACTTCTGTTAAAACTAATTTGCACTCGTTTTTGCATGCAGACATCCAGAATACAAGATTGGTAGCCTAGAGAAATGTTCGATATTGTTATCTATGAACTTGGTCCTTTGATTCCTCAGGAGAACCTGTGCCTGTCAAGGGCTGGATCCTGAGACCTGTGGTGCCTCCTTTTCTTTTGGTTGTTCATGGAGCATGTACTACAATGGATGTAAGTTTGCCAGAAGCAAGATCCCAAGAAAATTTAAGCTGCTTGGGGATGACCCAAAAGAGGTTTGTTTACTTCTTGATATATAATCTCTTTGATTTTCATGGAGAATTGATGAGTACAGATGAAGTAAACAGTATAACATACTCTGTTAAATTCTCATTAACATAGAGAATTTCATCTCAGAGGTACATCAAAATTTTAGCTGAACTGTAGGTATACATTATATATTTGATAAAATTAGCATAATAATAACTATGTGATACCAAAGTAGTAAAGTCTGAACATAAACTACTCATACCTATGGCCTTTTGTACTTACCTTTTATGTTAACTGTTAACTTTTATGTTAAGCAGCCATCACTTTGGTATTAAAACCAAGTATTAACATTTCATTGTTAAAACTTTCATTTTTCTCAAACCTGAGTTGCAGAAGTCATGTTCATCACTATCCCATTCAATAAAGACCATTTCTCATCACATTGTCATACCATGATATTTGATAAAGTTATCATAATGAATGCATTCAAGTAACTAAAACATATTTAGATATTAACATAAAATTTTAATTGATATTATATATTTCTCAAAATATAACTTAAAAATGGATATCAATTTTAACAACTTTTGAGTATAGCTTCTAGTGTATGCTAATTGAATAATCAAAAAACCCCTGAATGTTTACCAATTAGATATGACCAAATTTTTAGTGACTCTGTGAACCTTATAATTATCTTTTCAAACTTTAAGTGCAATTGAAATACAGTTATACTATATATATTATTGATATGTCCCTCTAAATGAAAAATGTGCTAGTGTTATTATTTGTGACTATAATAATAAGTGGAAATTTAGTAAAGTACAAAAACTCTTGAAATGATGATAAAATTTTTTTCACAGGATTGTATTTTTTTTTAAGATTTTATTTATTTATTTGACAGAGAGACAGAGATCACAAGTAGGCAGAGGCAGGCAGAGAGAGAGGGGGAAGCAGGCTCCCCGCTGAGCAGAGAGCCCGATGTGGGGCTTGATCCCAGGACCCCGAGATCATGACCCAAGCCGAAGGCAGAGGCTTAACCCACAGAGCCACCCAGGTGCCCCACACAGGATTGTATTTTTAATAAACTATAGTAAATGGGCTACATATCCCTCTTCATAAGAAAAAAATACCAACAATAAGCCTAATGAAGTGTAGCAATTTTACATAGCTGATGAGCCACTTTAATTTTCCACACTGCAGAGCTTTTTTACTACTATTTTATAAATGTTTATCGCTTTTACTAGATTTAACATAAAGCAAATCCAAGGGATAGCTAGGAACATCCTCCCTCAGGTATGTAGGAGAGGTTGGCTTAGAAACCTCCTCACCTTCTAAATTATAAATAAATATAACTCTTCGAGGTAGTTACATCTTTTAAGGTTTTGGAGAAAAAAAAAATGTTACTGTGAAATGAGAACTTCTAAATATGAATGGAATAACCAGGTATTATCACCTACCATTTTACAAGTATCTTACCTAGAAAATCTTTTTTTTGTAGGGAAGGAAGGAGTGTAACTGAACATTTTTCCTTTAAAATAAACTTTACAAAGTTCTGCATATAAACTCTCAACATTTCTAGTTCTGAGAGTTTTATCCATATGTGAAGCATCTACTAACTTTTAGTTCAGTGGAAAGATCTTCTCAAATTTTGAATGCTATTTTTATAAACATTTAAAAATATAAAGATTGAAAATAGATGAACCAAACAAATCCTTTCAATAGCTCATCTTCCATGGCAGCTGACTGGAGAAGGAGTGGAGAATGTGACCTCTTTAAAACCATATGGCTTCATTCTTCTTATCCTACTACTAGCGTAGTCTTATATTTATAAAATGCCAAATATCCACATGGGGAGTACAAAATTGATTAATATAAAAACACCAAAGAGCTAGACATTCTAATAACACATACAAAAATAGATGATGTATGGTTTATACTTTTTACTTAGAAATAATTGTGTTAAGGAACTTTATTTAATAAGAAAGACACTATTCTCATTTTGATCTAAGATGTAGTGAGAAAAATTAACTGATAGCCTCTCTTACATATGGAAAGGATTTAGGATTTTATTCATTTTATACAGGAAGAGAAACTGGAGTCTCATTTACAAAACCTGTCCACTCTTATGGCACCAACATACAAGAAACTTGCACCTGATGCATATAATAATCAGGTAAGTTTATAAAAAAATCATTGACAATGACTGGAACAGTTTACTTATTACTGATGACCTACCTACTTCCAAAATTATTTTTGAAGCAATGATTTTCCTTTATTTTTCTAATTTTTCCTCTTCCCAATTAGAGAACCCACAGTGTTCTGTTTCTGGTACATAAGAATTATATCATCCAAAAGAGCATATTTTTGGTCTTTTAATCTGTAAAGATAATGAGCTTTTAAGTCTCACAAGCTGTTCTATCCACTAATCTTATTTTCATATCTCTTCTGTAATCAGACTTTGGTGGTTAATTAAAATTATGTGGCGCAAACTATAGGTTCTAACCACCTATTAACTTTTCACATATATGTCTATATATATTAAGCTGTGAGTGTACTGCTTTGTAAGTGTACATAGAAATGTCCAAAAATGTCAGATTTTGCTGGATTCTCTTCTTTTTAATTGGCCTTGGCTCCATGAACCAAGCAAAAACATCTTTTTCCTATTTTTTTGGGTGTCTTGTAGACTGTACCTATTTGGAAGGCTAGGTGATTTGTTCAGAAATGCTCATGAAGGGGAAAAAAAACACTGTGAAGTCTTCCCTGTCATTATAACATCAACAACAGGAGCATTAAATGGATATAAGCTAGATATCATATTTAATATATGTTATATATATTAAATATATACATATTTATGTTATAAACTAAATATTTAGTCACTGTGGACATAAAGGTAAGCAATGTAGGGTTTCTGTCTTTAAGCAATTCCTTCTTTAGAGGAGACAGAGATATGTAAAATAGCAATTATAGAATAATATGTTAACAGCTGAAATAGAGGTATGCACATTTCTGAAGGAACAAAAAAGTTCTCCCTGAAAGTAGAGAATTAAGAATTAAGGTCACAAATGGCCTTGGAGACCATATAAAAATCTTTGAACTTGACCCTGTACTTAAGAAGGCTACCATTGGGGTATTTTAAGTGTGTGTTGGGGGCAGAGGAAGGTGATTTAATTTATAAAGAACACTGCATCAAAAACTAATGATGTGCAATTGCAGGGTCATAGGGTAGCTCTATATTTAATTTCTTGAGGACTCTCCACACTGTTTTCCAAAGTGGCTGCACCAACTTGCATTCCCACCAACAGTGTAAGAGGGTTCCCCTTTCTCCACATCCTCTCCAACACATATTGTTTACAGTCTTGTTAATTTTAGCCATTCTAACTGGTATAAGGTGGATTCTCAATGTGGTTTTGATGTGAATCTCCCTGATGGCTAGTGATAATGAACATTTTTTTCATGTGTCTGTTAGCCATTTGTATGTCTTCTTTGGAGAAGTGTCTGTTCATGTCTTTTGCCCATTTTTTGACATGATTATGTTTTGTGTGTGTTGACTTTGAGGAGTTCTTTATAGATGTTGGATATCAGCCCTTTGTCTGTACTGTCATTTGTAAATATCTTCTCCCATTCTGTGGGTTGTCTCTTTGTTTTGTTGACTGTTTCCTTTGCTGTGCAGAAGCTTTTGATCTTGATGAAGTCCCAAAAGTTCATCTTCACTTTTATTTCCTTTGTCTTTGGAGACATATCTTGAAAGAAGTTGCTGTGGCCTATGTGGAAGAGGTTACTGCCTATGTTCTCCTCTAGGATTCTGATGGATTCCTGCCTCATGTTGAGGTCTTTTATCCATTTCAAGTTTATCTTTGTGTATAGTGTAAGAGAATGGTTGAGTTTCATTCTTCTACACATAGCTGTCCAATTTTCCCAGCACCATTTAATGAAGAGACTGTCTTTTTTTCCACTGTATATGTGTCTGTTTTTATCCCAGTGCCATGCTGTCTTGGTGATCACAGCTTTGTAGTTAAAAAAACACAAAAACAAAAACTAATTATGTATTGTATGGTGACTACCATGACACAATAAAAAAAAGAACTAATGAAGTACGATGTGGTGACATAACATAATACAAAAAAGTGTAAAATCAATAAATATAGTTCTCCCAACAAGCCAAATTAAAATACAACGTACATTAACATAAGATTAAATCGGAGAAGTAAGCTAGTGTAGTCATTGAGCAAGAGATTTTAAAGTCCTAAATTAAAGAGATGGCAGTAGTGATAGAATAAAGAAAATAAAGTGTGTGAAATATTTGAGGTAGAACTTACAGAACTTAGTGACCGATTGGATTTGAGGATAAGCAAAAGGGGGAGGTTCAGGATTCACCAAATTTCTGGCTTGGACAGATGGTTCTCTTTAGAATTTGGAGTCAATGAGGAAAAGTAAGTTTGGGGGCAAAAAGGGGAAATGATACATTTCATTTTGGACAACTATGTTTGACATAATTCTGGAATAATTGGATAGAAAATCAGGAGAAAAATCCAAACTAGCACTGTAGATTTGAGACTTGTCAAAATGCAAGTAGTTGAAACTGAATACATAGGAGTGAATACAGTTTTTCAAAGTGGAGATTATAAAGAGAAGGGGCTACTAATGGCATTCTGGAATACATGGACATTTTAGGAGTGGAAGATGAGAAACCAGTAAAGTAAATGCTGGGGGTAGGCACAATATAGTAAAAGAAGTTAAAGATTTAAGGGAAAGAGAGAGACTGATAGATGGAGGAAAGCTGGAAGTGATGAAAATAGCCAGAGAGGAGTACACAGCAGTAGGGGGTACAGGGAAGTATGAAGAAGAGTGTGTTTAGCAAACAGTTGTCATTTAATGACATTAAAGACTAAAGGGATTAGATTAGTTTACATAGCAGAGACAGATGGGGAGACCAATACTAATTTAATGATTTAGCTACTCTTGTTTCAATTATGGACTTTTAACACTTTCCTCAAACCTCAACTCTTTCTTTTTTAAGTGGGAGCAAAAGAGGCAAATTAAATAATGATGATCTGTTTATAAAGTTGTTTCATGTCACAACTTAGGTTTTTAGAAATGTATATGTTGTCTATGAAAAATATTTTAGATGCTGTTAATAGTAGTTGGATTAATACTGTTATTTTACAACCTTATCTACTTTGGTAAGTATCACAGAAAAATATATGGAATGCTTTGGTACTGTTGTAAAATGATTCTGAGTGAGAAACACAATATATCAAGCTATAAAAAGAAAATGAATAAAGTCTATGTTGCTAGATTTCAAGTTTGACCATTTTCTGTTGAATAAATTTTTTTTATAGGTGCTATTAATCAAATGGCTTTAGCGGGGAAAGAGGACAGAATAACAAAACATTAATGTTCTTTTCACTCTACTCCTTTTATTTTTATTATAGATGGTGTCATACACATGTGATTTTCTAAGCATTGATATTCTACCCAGTTACATTATGTTTCGAGTATTTTATGCATTACCTAAACCTAGAATATCCAAAATACAACAGTACCCCAAATTTTAGTTATAACAAGATGATTAGATATGACTCGTTAGGTGTGTTTCAGTATTTGTATATGAATAAACGTACTGAAAAATGGGCAGTTTCATTTAAGCAAGATGAATAAGCTCTAGAGATCTGCTTTGCAACATGTGTACCTACAGTCAACAATAATGTATTGGACACTTAAAACTTTGTTTAATGGTCGAACTCATGTTATGCATTCTTACCATAAAATATAAATGTGTGCACATAATGGGATATTACTCAGCCATCAAAAAGAATGAAATCTTGCCATTTGCAGTGATGTGAATGGAGCTAGAGTATATTAGGCTAAGCAAAATAAGTCAGAGAAAGACAAATACCTTATGTTTTCACTCGTATGTGGAGTTTAAAAAACAAAACAGATAAACATATGGGAAGGGAAAAAAAAGAGAGAAGCAAACCATAAGAGACTCTTAACTATAGAGAACAAACAGGGTTGATGGAAGAAAGTGGGTGGGCAATGTACTAAATGGGTGATGGGTATTAAGGAGGGCACTTGTGATGAGCACTGGATGTTATATGTTATATGTAAGTGATGAATCATTAAATTCTACTCCTGAAACCAATTTTACCATCTATGTTAACTACAATTTAAATAAAAAATTGAAAAGGAAAAAAAATTAAAAATTTAAATGCATACATATACTCATACATTAAAAAAAAATACGTAAAAAATAGATGTAAGATCTACCTAAATTAAATCAGTCAATAGCTGTGAATGGATAAGGTGTTTTCTGTATTGCATGGTAGTTCCTATTAGTAATGTTCATCGATATGTTTTAATATGGTTTAGAGATCTAAAACATAGCCTTGTGATCTTTCCACACAGTACAGGGGAAGACCTGTTAAATTTATGGATGCTGTCAAAACCTACCATTTGATTTTTATCTCCTCCCCCAACTGAATATATTATCCTCATTTCTCATTTCTAAATGCTCTTCCCTGGCTTTGTTCCTTGATTTTGTAAAGTTTCATTTCTAAAGTTAAACTTCTCATCAGAGAAAAATGTAAGAAAAAAAGAGGAGAAACATCTTTTAAGTACTGAAAGAGAAAAAAACTGTCAACCTAGAAATCTCTCCCCAGTAAAAACAACTCTCAAAAGTAAAAGCAAAATCAAGTACATGAAATTCTTGGGCATAAAAATTTGACATTTGACAAAAATGTACAAGACCTGTGCACTGAAAACTACAAACTTGCTGAAATTTAAAAAGACCCAAACTGGAAAGAAGTACTGTGTTTATGGATCACAGGACTAAATATTTTTAAAATGTCAGTTTTCCCCAAGTCAATCAGTACCTTATCTGTCAAAACATTGCCAAGTGTTTTGAAGAAATTGATATTCTAAAATATAGAGAGAGAAATGCAAAGGATTTAGAATAGAGAATTTTCAAAAAGATCAGAATTTGATGATTTCTACTCCCTGATTTTAAGATTACTAAAGATCCATATTTACTAGTAATCAAGATAGTGATATTGGCATATACACACATACCTCCCAACACACCATTATATACCAAAAGATCAGAGTTTTGTGTCATTCCATTGTATTTCCAGATATAAAATATGCAACATTTTTTTAAAGTTCTTAATAGCCAAAATACTAAGGAATCTTTTTGACCTTTTCAGTGCACAGGTCTTACACTTTTTTCTCAAATGTATGCCTGAGAATTTCAGATGCCTAAGTATATCCCCATTCACACACATGCTTTTATTTTTCAGATTGAATATGAACACAGAGCACCAGAGTGCCGACTGGGTCTGAAGGAAGGCCGGCCATTCTCAGGGGTCACTGCATGTTTGGACTTCTGTGCTCACGCCCACAGGGACTTACACAACATGCAGAATGGCAGCACATTGGTAAGTGGGGGCACAGAACAGGTTTGCAGCACATCCTATGAAACAGTGGAAAGCTGGAAGTTAGAAGCATGTGATTAGAGTAATATGTTCTCTGCAGGTGTCATTGCACAAGTGTTTTCATGAATGAGTTGCTGTTGCAAAGGTGACCATATTTGGCATATCTAGTTCTCTCATAATGGGTTGGCATATTATTGGAAATCTGCTGACAAGCACAGGAAAATCATGGAAATACTGATGCTAACTAAACCAGTGACTGTGCATTGCCAGCTACCATTAGCTACCAAAAGTCTTCAAAATTCAGTGTCAGGTATCTGGTAGGTTATAATCAGTATAGTAAAAAACCATATACAAGCCAAGGCACCAGTCCACCTTGCAGAGAGAAGAGCAAATGAAACATGCATCATCTGTGGCACAGTAACTACTGTAGAAAATTCAAAGTACAAAAGAGCCCACTATAACTACATAGTATAGTGGGTGAAGTGGATTGGGCTGTATAATTGGAGGTTTTGGTAAATGGAGAAAATGAATATGGGCGTGGCCTTGCATGGAGAGAGAGAAACCAGAGTGGAGATAAAGATTGAAAAATTTCAAGTGAAGAAATTATAAACTAATCCACCTAGTGAGTCATCAACATGGATATAATAATGTAGTTGAGAAATATGACCAATGAGACTTGAGTTGAAAAATAGAATACAGAGAGCAAAGTCATAGTCTAGGGTAGAGAAGAACCCAGGGAGGTGGTTAGCAATAGTGGAAGTAATTCACGGAACCTGGTATGAAGTTTTTGAGAGGCAGAAAAGGTATTGGTTTAATGGTTTAAACAGAGGTCAGAAGGTCTTTTTTTATTAGAGGAAAGATAGTAAATATTTTAGGCTTACATAATATCCTAGACCACATTCTTTATTTTGGGGTTTTTTTTTAATTAAAAATGCAAAAAACACTCAGTTCACTGGCCATGCAGAAACCGGCTGTGAGACAGTTTGGCTTGCAGACTTCTGACCCAGGAGGGCCAACAATGAGGCTTATCATCCACAATATCTGAAATCATCATTAATCATGTGTTGAACACTTGCTCACTATTAGAAGGCTAGGCTAGATTTGGGGAAGAAGAAATAAATGATAATCAGAGCCATAATAGGTCTAAACATAGCCATGTTTCTCTAGCAAGGTGATGGAGAGAAGACAGAGATGATTAGGGTTCCACGTAAAGGGGACTTTGCGTCTAACAGGTCATGGTTTTCACGAGGTAGAAAGAAAAGCAACACTAGGTAAGAAGAATGGAGTAGGGACAAACATGTGAGAAAAGGTGATAGGTGCTCAAAAGACGTGGATTTGGAAGACTTATGTACAGGAAGTGAAAACCTCGTTTTAGTCCCATCTCATGTTAAATTTATCTGTCAGGGTAAGTCTGTTATGTTCACATTCCTTTCAAGAGTATCTTCCAGTAATTTTATTTTACCTGTACTTTAAATGACTATGATCACATTGTTTTCTGCATCAGCCAAAAACACGAATTACTAAAAGCTAGTATGTTACAGCCAACAAATAACCTCTCATCAACACCAAGAGGATTGTGGCTAACAAAAAAGAAAAAGTACCATTAAATTAGCAAAGCAAGAGTAGACTTTTCCCCTTTTTGGAACAGCCCCTCGTATGGTACAACAACTTAGAAGAGAAACAAGAGAGGAACAATAGTAAGTTAGTCTTAACGAGTACAGAGACAGAAAGAAGAGGAAGATAGACACAGTGTTGAGTTATATATTCCCTATAGCAACCACATCTTCAATTTCACATTTTTTTTAAGATTTTATTTACTTATTTGAGAGAGAATGAGAGATTGACAGCATGAGAGGGGAGAGGTCAGAGGGAGAAGCAGACTCCCCACCAAACAGGGAGCCTGATGTGGGACTTGATGCCAGGACTCCAGGATCATGACCTGAGCTGGAGGCAGTTGCTTAACCAACTGAGCCACCTAGGGGACCCAATTTTACATTATTTAGATTTCACTTTGGTATTTTGTGGAAATTTCTTAAGCACAATGAAGGAGAGTTAAGAGTCTGGTGTGGGGGGAGATGTGAAATGTCTTTGTGTACAAAAGTATGAGATTAGGTGACTGATAACTAGCAAAACAGGAAATCATTTGGTGGAAGAAACATAGCCTCTTCTTAAAGAGGTTTCACATCTCTTGCATTTATGTTTCAAGTGTGAAAGGTGGGAGACTGCTTCATTTTGGTTCTTCCTAGAATCAGAAATATATGTGAAGAAGAAAGTTACCATGGGTAACAGTTCCTGATAGACTCAAAAAACGAAAAGGGGGAAAAAAAAGTTAACGTGGACTGTCTTTTCCCTGTACCATTTTAATGGCACCTCCCTTAAGAACAGATAAACGTGATTCATGGTAATATGCCTGTCACTGATCTGGTTCAGGAGACCACCACCACAAATCTAAATACTGACAGGGAGAAAGTTACACACACACACAAACACACACACACAATTTCTTTTGGACTGAAACTGAAGCAGTACTGTCTTATTTCCCTACAGGTATGCACCCTCACTAGAGAAGACAATCGAGAAATTGGAGGAAAACCTGAGGATGAGCAGCTGCATGTTCTGCCTCTCTACAAAGTCTCTGATGTGGATGAGTTTGGGAGTGTGGAAGCTCAAGAGAAGAAGAAGCAAAATGGTGCGATTCAGGTGCTGAGTTCTTTTCGGCGGAAAGTCAGGATGTTAGCGGAACCAGTCAAGACGTGCCGACAAAGGAAACTAGAAGCCAAGAAAGCTGCAGCTGAAAAGCTTTCCTCTCTGGAGAACAGCGCAAATAAGAATGAAAAGGAAAAGTCAGCCTCATCTCGTACAAAACAGACTGAAAATGCAAGCCAGGCGAAACAGTTGGCAGGTAACTTTAACGTAAAGCATTGCGCACCTGTGTTATCTAAAACTTATGTTAGAAATGAGTATCGGTAATTTCAGACGATTATATTCAATCATGGTCTTAGTTTTGTACCAAAATCTTCTCTGAAGTCCCAAGGACCAGGCTTTGCTCTTGGAGATGGTAATGAGATATGGCACCCTGAACCCCAGCTTAATGGAGAAGTTTGGGTTCTGTTCTATAATAGATGGCAGTTTTATGATAGGCAGGTAATATGATGAAATTAGGGTTAATCTAGCAGCGACAGGGGGGCAGATTAGAGGCTGAGGAGCTATGAGTTTGGAGATTGATGCAATAAACCAAGCTTGAGTTTGGGTGGTAGCAATGAAGATATAGCAAAAATGATGGAAGCAAATGCTCCTAAAATGATTCTCAATTCATGGATGACCAAACACTGGAACGAAGACAAAAGAAAAATTTAAGGTTGATTTCAACATTTTAAGCCTAGGTAACTAAAACAGTACTATTTGTTGAAATAAGAAGTTTGAAAATAGGAATTATGGGGAAGGGGCAGGAGAAGATTGTCAAAGCCCCTTGCTTTTGTCTTCAATTAATTTCTACAAAAAGCCATACCATGTAATGTCCATATCCACATCTTACAGATGGCATTGGCCTGGCCATTAACAAAAGAAAAAGGCTTATTTTTTAAGTTTAGTCTACTAGTTTGCTTAGAGCCAACCATCTTCACCAAGTCAAATTCCCCTACCAATTCATCTCAAAACCTAGAGAAACTAAGTAATTTAGAATATGCTAAAGATTCTCAACAAAAATGTGTTGATTGGCTGACTTACACTAAGAGAAGTAAATCCTATTCACTCCTTAATCTCTCCTTTAAGTTAGCTGCAAAGTATAATCAGAACTCTGCTTCCAGTCTTTTCTAACTGGTCTCTGTAATAATCATTTCAGCTTAGGACTGCCATTACAGCTCCATTTATTTGTTCTTTTCTTATATAGAGATTTTTAAGTGAGGTCATGAAACAGATATATGACAAAATTTTCACTTACAAAGCTGAAAATTAAAGTTTTATTGACAACTCTGTAGATAGGGTTTGCCAATTATATAAGATATGCTTGGGGTATTTCAGTGAATGTCATTCTTTTTCTAATAGCGTTGCTGAACAAATTTGTCTTCTGTAACAAATTTTATGCTACTTCCAACTATTTAACAAATTTTATTGCACACCAGGCAATGGAGAAATAAAGTAAAATAAGACCTGGGCCCTTCCTTCAAGGAACTCCTTTGCACCAGCAGGAGAAGAGGACTAAAAATGCATAATTACCATACATTATGACGCATTTTTCTATCTCACTGATGTCTGCAGTGGGTATTATACATGCACTAGGAGATGAGGTCAAAGCAGGCTTCCTTGAGGAAGGGAGGACTATGCCCAGGAAGGGCAGGGAGGTGGGATGGAGGGAGATGGGCACTTCAGGGAGACCGTGGCATCGTCAGATGCACAGAAGCTGCAGAAAACATGATGCTCTCAGTGAAACAGCTTGTGGATTTTTGTGACGTTTTTCTTCACTTACCAAATTGTACTGTTGTAGAGATCTGCTGTTTTATCTAATGCTTTAAACAAAAAATCACACCGGACAATGATCAGAACCCTGACTTTGCTCTTATCCTTGTTTAATGGGTATTGCATTAAACTTAGCGGGGTTCTCCAATCCATTTAAGCATCCTTGCTAGCTTCTGTAAAATAATAACTGGTCACATGTGTGTGCTTTCTCCTCTCCTGTCCACAGAGCTTTTGCGACTTTCAGGACCAGTCATGCAGCAGCCCCAGCAGCCCCCGCCCCCACCCCCACCCCCGCCGCTGCAGAAGCAACCTCCACAGCCACAGAAGCAGCAACCCCAGCACCCGCCCCAGCATCACCCAGTGACGAATAACCCTCAGTCAGAGCCCGTCAACTCCTACTCTTCCTCTGGATCTGCCAACCTGTACATGAGACGGCCCAATCCAGTGATCCAGGCTTACCCGAGCTCTTCACACACTTCAGATGTTTATGGGGGTGCCAGCCCTATGAACCTCTATTCCACACCATCCCAAGCTACAGGTTCATATTTGAATTCTTCTAATCCCATGAATCCCTACACTGGGCTTCTCAACCAGAATAACCAATATCCATCCTATCAGTGCAATGGAAATGTATCGGTGGATAACTGCTCCCCGTATCTGGGTTCCTATTCTCCCCAGTCTCAGCCCATGGATCTATACAGGTATCCAAACCAAGACCCTCTCTCTAAACTAAATTTACCACCCATCCATACACTTTACCAGCCGAGGTTCGGAAATAGCCAGAATTTTTCTTCTAAGTACTTAGGTTATGGAAACCAAACTATGCAGGGAGATGCCTTCAGCAGTTGTACCCTTAAAACAAATGTACACCATGTAGGGACATTTCCTCCTTATTCCACTCATGAGATGGATGGCCACTTCATGGGCGCCGCCTCTAGATTACCACCCAATCTGAGCAATCCAAACATAGACTATAAGAACGGTGAGCATCCCCCATCTTCTCATATAATCCGTAACTACGGCGCCGCTCCAGGCATGTTCAACAGCTCTCTCCATGCCCTGCACCTCCAAAACAAGGAAAATGACATGCTTGCCCACACAGCTAATGGGTTCTCTAAGATGCTTCCAGGTCTTAGCCATGATAGAACCGCTTCTGTCCAAGAAGGCTTACACAAATTACAGGAGGCTGGTAACCAGGAAAAGCAGCCATCTGCCACCGAGGACAATGATGAAGTCTGGTCAGACAGTGAGCAGAGCTTTCTAGATCCTGACATTGGGGGAGTGGCTGTGGCTCCAACTCACGGGTCAATTCTCATTGAGTGTGCCAAGCGCGAGCTTCACGCCACCACCCCTTTAAAGAATCCCAATAGGAATCACCCCACCAGGATCTCTCTTGTCTTTTACCAGCATAAGAGCATGAATGAGCCAAAACATGGCTTGGCGCTCTGGGAAGCCAAAATGGCTGAAAAAGCCCGAGAGAAAGAGGAAGAGTGTGAGAAGTATGGCCCGGACTATGTGCCTCAGAAAACCCACGGCAAAAAAGTGAAACGGGAACCCACTGAGCCGCATGAACCTTCCGAGCCCACTTACCTGCGCTTTATCAAGTCCCTTGCTGAAAGGACCATGTCCGTGACCACAGACTCCACAGTAACTACATCTCCATATGCCTTCACTCGGGTCACAGGGCCTTACAACAGATACATATGATGTCACCCCTTGTGGTGGGTACCTCATTTGAAAAGACCACAACCAACCTGTCCGTAGTATGGTTCTCATGACAGGGGCAGTGGGGAAAGGATACAGGATTCATGACAAATGTGGTGGGAGGAACCTCAGCTCACCAGCAAAAGAAGAGGTCATCCTACCATAGCACTTAGTTTCCACTGACTCCTAAGTGGCCGCAGATGGCATCTAGGCAAAAAGACCAAAGCATTCTATGCAAAAAGAAGGTGGGGAAGAAAGTGTTCCACAATTTACATTTTTAAACACTGGTTCTATTATTGGACGAGATGATATGTAAATGTGATTTTTTTCCCCCTTAGAACTCTAAACATCTGTGACCACTTTTAATAATACCAAGTTTGCATAGTCATGGAACACAAGTCAAACAAGTACTGTAGTATTACAGTGGCAGGAATTTTAAAATACCATCTGGTGCTGAATATACAATGTACTGAAATACTGGAATTATGGCTTTTTAACATGCAGTTTTTACTGTAATCTTAATATTAACTTTTATTTATCAAAATAGCTACAGGAAGCATAAATGAATAGAGAGCAAAACACTGAATTTGTTCGGATGTTCTAAGAAATGGTGCTAAGAAAATGGTGTCTTTAACAATTGAAAATTTAATGCCTTTATATCATCAAGATGCTATCAGTGTACTCCAATGCCCTTGAATAATAGGGGTACCTTTTCATTCAAGTTTTTAGCATAATTACCTATTCTTACACGAGGTTGTTTTTTTTTTTTTTTAATGTGGACATTTAAAGGCCTCTGGATTTTGCTCATCCAGTGAAGTCCTTGTAGGACAATAAACGTATATATGTACATATATGTATACACATATGTATATGTGCACACACGTATATGTATAAATATTTTAAATGGTGTTTTAGAAGCACTTTGTCTACCTAAGCTTTGACAACTTGAACAATGCTAAGGTACTGAGACGTTTAAAAAAAAAAAAAAAGTTTACTTTCATTTTAGAATGCAAAGTTGATTTTTTTTTTTTAAGGAAACAAGGAAAGCTTTTAAAATATTTTTGCTTTTAGCCATGCATCTGCTGATGAGCAATGTGTCCATTTTTAATACAGCCAGTTAAATCCGCAACGGGGCTTACTGGATTCAAGGGAATACATTAATCAACAACACGTGTTTTCTGGTGCTCATCTCACATGCTATACTGTAAAACAGTTTTATAAAACATTGTATGACAAGTTCATTGCTCAAATATGTAGTTTTAGGAATTTTCTCTTAACTGCAGGTAATTATTAACGACATGCTACAGATTTAACAAAGCTAGTTCACTTAAGCTGATGTTATTTTATGGATCTGTACGCTCTTCAGCAAACCGAATGGCAGTCTGCTTTTGTGTTGATAATTGTATATTGTGATGTTGTCATTTCTTAGCGTAAGTGTCCTCTTTTCCAGGAAGATTGAGCAGACTGATGCCTGCGTAAGATGAATAAACAGGGTTAGTTCCATGTGAATCTGTTAATTAAAAAGAAAAAAACAGGCAGCTGGTTTGCTGTGGTGGTTTTAAATCATTAATTTGTATAAAGAAGTGCAAGAGATGTATAGTAAGTAAATTAAATTGTAAACAAAACTTTTTTAACGCAATGCTTTAGTATTTTAGTACTGTAAAAAAATTTAAATATATACATATATATGTGTGTATATATATATATATATATATATATATGGATTTGAAGCAGAATTCACATCATGATGGTGCTACTCAGCCTGCTACAAATATATCATAATGTGAGCTAAGAATTCATTAAAGGTTTGAGTGATGTTCCTACTTGTCATATACCTCAACACTAGTTTGGCAATAGGATATTGAACTGAGAGTGAAAGCTTAGAGCATCATGTACCATCATTTGTTTCCAAGTCTTTTTATTATTGTTATTATTATTATTAAAAAAGCATACCTGTTTTTCAATACTTGACTTCTTAGCAAGTATAACTTGAACTTCAACCTTTTTGTTCTAAAAATTCAGGGATATTTCAGCTCATGTTCTCCTTATGCCAACATGTCACCTGTGTTTATGTAAAATTGTTGTAGGTTAATAAATATATTCTTTTTTCAGGGATTTAACCCTTTTATTTTGAATCCCTCCTATTTTACTTGCATATGTGCTGATGTAACTAAAACTAATTTTGTAAAAATCTGTTGGCTCTTTTTATTGTAAAGAAAAGCATTTTAAAAGTTTGGGGAAATCTTTTGACTGTTTCAAGCAGGAAAAAAAAATTACATGAAAATAGAATGCACTGAGTTGATAAAGGGAAGATTGTAAGGCAGGAGTTTGGCAAGTGGCCGTTGGCTAGAGTCTCTTGACACTCTTCAGAGTTTTTGATCCCGTAGCCAATACGGTAGAGGGCCACAATGACTTCCCTCTGCAGGCAGAACACATAAGGGTGTGGCGTGTAGTTGACTATACAGTTACATTTTGGTCTGAGTACATTTGTGCTTACTGACATTTCAAATAAATTCTTAAATGAGACCTTTTGAGTTTTACTGGTCAAGTCTATAACAAGGCTTTCGATTTTTTTAAAAATCGCCCCACAGTTTTTGGCTGTGACCAATTTACAGACATTTCAAAAGCGTCTGCTTTGCGAATGTCAAACCACATGATTTAAAAATTTTGCATATACCATGTATCTCACCCCAGATATTTGGCTACTACAGGCACATCTGTTGGTTTTGAGTCAGCCATCCCTCTATGAATATTTGGTTTCTGTGTCACCCACTGTCATTTGTCAAACTGCTGGCCAACAAGAGCAAGAAGTGTAGTTTGGGGTTTGCTTTGGAGAGAAGGAGGGAGGGAGGGAGGGAGGGAGGAGGAGAGGAAATCGAGTGGCATATTGTAAATATCAGATCTATAATTGTAAATATCAAACCTGCCTCAGTTAGAATGAATGGAAGCAGATCTCCAATTTGCTTATATAGGAATATCAGGTTAACTATATAGCCATACTTGAAAATGCTTCTGAGTGGTGTCAACTTTACTTGAATGAATTTTTCATCTTGATTGACGCACAGTGGTGTACAGTTCACTTCTAAAGCTAGTGGTTAACTTGTGTAGGAAATTTTTGCAGTTTGACACTAAGATAATGAACTCTGTGTGCATTTTTCTGTGCTTTTTTTAAAACTTAGTTTCATTTCATTTTCATGTTTGGTTTGTCTATAAAACCTGAGGATGGTTATAAATACTGTAAGTATTGTAATGTTATGAATGCAGGTTATTTGAAAGCGTTTATTATTATATCATTCCTGATAACGCTATGTGAGTGTTTTTAATAAAATTTATATTTATTTAATGCACTCTAAGTACTGTCTTGTTGAAGTTTCTGTTTACTGCCTGAACCACTGCTACTTCAATGAGGCCAAAGGGAATGAAAAGAAATTGCTTTTTAAAGATAATTTTTGGATGGTTATTTGTTAAAATGTACCTAAAGTAATATCTGGATAACTAAAGCCAAAATTTATCTCTAGTGGAATAGCCTATATATATTCAATTTTTTCCCCCCCAGCCCACTTTAGCTTGTGCACTTTGTGTGTGTGTAGCCAGTACTAGGGATGGAGCAACGGCACTTCTACCGACCTTAAACAGTTGTCTCTTCTGGTGTGTGGCCTGTGAGGGCTTCTCGAGATGCAGCAGGTTCACGGAGCTGAGCTCACAATGGCTTCAATCTGAGGCCAGCCCAGTTCTCAGACTACTCTCCCTCTTCACATCCACTCTTCTCAAGGAAGATTCCTCTTCCTATGTATCTGAAAGGCAGGCGGTATTAAGCAAGAGGAGTGGGGAGAGGTGGCCCAGGAGGCACCAGACAAATGTGCCAGTCCTCATCCCTGTCACGTGGCTTCAGGGAGCCACAAGTTAGATTGTCCTCCTCTCCTCCCCTTGGTCAGCCCTCACACAGCACCAGTGGGAAACACTTTTTAGAAACGTGAGATACTAAACACTGATTACAATTACATGAGTCTTCCTACAATTACAGGAGCCTTCAAACCTGCCCCCTGCCACTTCCCTCCCACCCGGAGCCACCACCACATTCCTCCCCACTCCCCGCCAGTCCTTCCTAAACTGCCAGAGAACTCAAGGGAATTCCCTTTCCCCATATTTCTATCTCTATTCAACTTGGGCCAACTTTGGGGGTTTTTTTGTTTTGTTTTGTTTTTAAATTTTTTTTTTAAGGAATCTCTCCACCCAACGAGGGGCTGAAATTTACAACCCTGAGATCAAGAGTCGATGCTCCCTGACTAAGCCAGCCAGGAACCACCCCCTGCACACACACCCCCCCCCCCGGGGTTTGATTTAAATAGTTATTCCTGAGCTGGAGAAATGACTGCCCAGTGATGTAACCTTTGAGTTTGACTGGTGATTCCTCCAGCATTCAGCTCAAAGCCAGGATATTAAGAGAAGAAGCAATGTCGCTGTTAAAAAGCAGTAATCCAGTGACTGTATTTTTTTTTTTTTAGTAATTTCAACTCTCTGGGGATATTGTCAACCCTCATTTCACCATCTATCCTCTGGACAAACCTTGAGAACCTCCCACATTTCAAATTTTCTAGTCATTTCCCAGGGTGAGGGAAATTTGAGAATCTATGAGCTCAAAAGTTTCTCTTGCTAGGGCGCCATCCCACCCCGGGCTGGCAGGGGCTGGTGACGCTGTAAAATGAAGATGGAGGCAGACTTGCTGCTTTGGAGCCTGCAGGTGAACTTGAATGGGAGAGAAAGCTGAAAATGACAATGAGCCAGCACCTGTGAAGCTCTCCCTGCCCCTTGCCTCCTCTGCAAATACTGTCAAGAATGAACCTCTATGGGGGCGCCTGGGTGGCTCAGTGGGTTAAGCCGCTGCCTTCGGCTCAGGTCGTGATCTCGGAGTCCTGGGATCGAGCCCCGCATCGGGCTCTCTGCTCTCTAGGGGAGCCTGCTTCCTCCTCTCTCTCTCTGCCTGCCTCTCTGCCTGCTTGTGATCTCTCTGTCAAAAAAAAAAAAAAAAACTTTAAAAAAAAAAAAAAAAAAAAAAAAAAGAATGAACCTCTATGGGCAGGCAGACAGGCACACAGCTGCCCTGTCCCACTGGGGCACTTCTTCCTGGCCTCAGTCTCTTCAGTTGGTTTGTCATTACCCTTTCCCCTGTTTGGGGTCATTCTAGCCTAGCTTTGACCCCTTTCTGACTCTCTGATTCTGGACTCCATCACCTGTGTGACAACTAGACTCTGCAAGGAAAGGCCTTATTTATCATGGACCTTCTCCTCAAGCTGCTGAGAATTTTAAATTGGTTTTGTTGGGCTGGAGGGCATCTGGAGTTGAGGATACAGGAAAAAAAGGAAGGCCGGGGGAGCATCTTTTCTTCCCACAATCAATACGAGGGAAGAGTACTTGCTGGGTAAAACACTTGCTCACGAACCAGTCACTGGACTCACCACTGAGGGCTGGAGGTGCTCTCTCCCTGCCTTCCTCCTTCCCCTGGGAGCCCACTCTCTAGCTGTTAGAGTTCACAAAAGCGGCTTAGAAAAGAATTAGCTGCAATTAGAGATTGTTTCAGTGTTACCAGCACTCTTCAGTTTCAAAGAACAAAGATACTTTTGTTTCCATATATTGGCGGCCACCTGCCTACATTTCCCTCTCTTACCCAGAAATTTCTCACAAATCCTATGTTTGTCTAGTCCAACACACTCCTGAAAGGATCAGTTATTTTTCCCAGAAACACACTCAACAAATATGCTTTCTTTGGGACTTCCT